ATATCATGCCTATATCTTGTACTCTGAACAACTACTATGAAAACAACAGTATGCACTGTAGTAATTATTGTAACTCTCCTACTAACTTGTTCTGAAACTTTGATTTATTTTTTTCTCAAAATAAAAAAATACACACACATATATGTGATAAACATTAATATATAATGAGAACCTGCCTTGGAAAAAAATAATTTATAGAAAGACATTAAGTAGGATTGAAGAATTGTAAGTAAATGAACACTTAGGAAATGATGTACTTGAACAAAGTTAGTAGACACGGTACCTATTGGTTAGTCGGTTATCCAAGGTATTGGCTTTAGATGTGTTAGCAGCATCATTTCTGTCTGAGATCCTTTATAAAGAAACAACACAAAAGTGGGAGCAATCAAAACAAAACTGTGGGTACAGTTCAAGCTTTTTTCATGCTAGAATAATCTCACAACATAAACTTTCTCTTCCAAAGAGAATTGTTTTTCAAGCATTAGATTTTAGAAAATTTTACAGTAAAAAATAAAGGGACACATGACAAAGTCTACTTACAAGGCTTTTTTGACAAAGATTTGAATTTTAAAAGAATGGCAACTTACGTGTTTGTCTCTTTGATTCACCGAGGATTTAACTCAATTATTTTCATATTATACTTTTGGTTTTGGTGCTTTTTGGTTTTTGTTTTTTTTTGTTTTTTTTTTTTTGGTACTGGGAATCGAACTCATGACCTCAAGCTTGCCAGGTAAGTGCTTATGCCGCAGAGTTACATCCCCAGCCTCCATATTATATTTTTTAACAATATATCTAATTAATGATAATACTTCCTACGTCAGTAAAAGGAGTCAATGCTATACTTAAATATTTACTTCATTTTTTTGTTGTTTTGTTTTGTTTTGTTTTGTTTCCGGTACCGGGGATCGAACTCACAACCTTGCACTTGCTGGGCAGGCGCTGTGCCACTGAGCTAAATCTCCAGCCCCTTTGCTTCATTTATTGTGGCACAGGCAATATTATGTGTTTGTCAAGCTCATTTTCCTTTCCTCTTGAGTAAGAAAAAGACCACATCTAGCAAATTTAACTGCAGCTAAGTTGGAATCTCTTGATTGAGTTATTGCTAAGGAATGTGGGCAGAAATGTTATTTACTGCTTCCAAGCCTGTCACAAAACTTCCTGCGTCATCACTCATAATCTCTTTTCCCTCTACCCACCATCACTTCGGTGTCATGGACTGAAGACGGCATCATTAAAACTCTGAAAGCTTTTAAGGTCCCCGAGTCACTGCTTGGACTCCAGAGAATCATATCAGACTCAGGGACATCAAGCAGATCCTTCTACTGTGCTAAACCATCTAAATTTGGGGGCACAAGGAATAAATCAGTTACTCGATCTTGATGAATTAGTTTGCTTTGACTGATACATTTAATTAATAAGCCCAAATGGGCATCTTTAGCCCCTTTATTCTCAGGTACCCTCAAAGAGAGGAGATCTAGAAAAATTGAGGAATAGCACCATCTCATTCCCCAGCAGTGGGGTCTCCTGCCTGCAGCTCCTGCTCCTTCCTCCTTTGCCTGGAATCAGATACGCAGGTTCTGCATAAGACCTGGAGCTGTCTTCTCGAACATTCTGCAGATTTGCAGAAACTGGAATATCGCAAAGCGAAACAAGGAAAACAAAGGGAGCAGACTCTTCTGCTGATCCCATACTGTATATCTTCTACAACTTTCCCTAAACTTTCACTTTTATCACACATCTCTGCCAAGATAGATACTGACCACCTCTCTCAGAAAAAAATCGTGTGGGAAGAATGAGACTTAATTGCCTTCATAGTCATGAACTAAAAGTAATTTCAGTTCCTAGATGTCATTTTAACATATGTATCTAAAGGGCCAGGGATGTAGTTCGGCAGCACAGCACCTGCCTGGCAAGCACCAGGCCCTGAGTTTGATTCCAAGTACCAAAAAAAAAAAAAAAAAAAGAAGAAGAAGAAGTAACTAAAATATTGGGTGATAACTCTAATATATTGAACTTTGAGTCAACCCCAAAACAGTTTCTGTGTGTGGTACATAACATCACAAACTACTATTGAGACCAGAAGAAGGACGAATGAACTTGTAACACTTCAGAACTCCATATTCTGCACGGAGTGCTCACAAACTGAGCAGAACCCTAAAAAACTCATGTCTAAAGTGATCTTTGGGCCAAAGACTGGGATAATGTCCTTGAACTAACTCAAGCCTCGCAAGCCGTGCAATGCTTAGATTCCAACAGCTTTGCAATGAACCACTGTGAATACAATGTGAGGCAATCTGAAATCTGAAATCTTAAACGTTTCTGGGACCCTTACTAAACTTTATACTTACCAGTGAGATCCTGATATAAGATGAAAAACAACATCATAAATTGCTATAGGTAAAATAACAATTCATTTAAAGCAAACAGAACTTTAATATCAAATGATTTCAAGGTGATTTCTCATGTTAAAATTAAATAAAGTTAATAAAAATTCCAAAGTGTGTATCTGTGTGGGAAACACTACCTATAATAATAAAAAGCTATCTACTCTTTCTTGTCATTTCATAAATCTTTTCAATTGCTCAGAACATTTCTACAAGGTAAGTGTGATTATTTTCATTTTATAGATGAAGAAGTGGAGTTTAAAAGAAGTTAGATGACTTTCTCTTGACCACACAACTAGGAAGTAGTTCTATCTTCAGAGTTTCCTCACTGGGGCTCATTTGATTATATAGCATAACTGATCCCAAAAAACACCCAATAGATTAATATATCTTTCCTTATTTCTAACTTATCTCAATCTCTTCCACACCACTAGGGGAGATTCTATCGATAATAATGGAGAAAACTCTAAACCACCATTCTGATATATACATGAATTTTTAATTTCTGAGAGAGATTAACTTTGTATTTGCCAACTTGCAATATGAAATAGTTTATTTTTAGAGAAGTTGAGGAAACAGGAAATAACCAGCAGTATGATCAAAAGAAAAGTTATTCCACAATTGAGCACTAGAGGGCTCCCTAACCTACTTTTTCCAAATTAATCATTATGCCACCTTCAGGGTTTGAACTCGTGTCTTCACGCTGCATGGATTACTCTTACCTATGTTTCTTTAACACAGTTCATATTCCTACCCCAATATGTAAGGAAACTCCTCATGTCAAAATTCAGTGTTTTCCATATGTTAATTAAAACTAATGCATTATTATATAAATACACAGGTACATATATCAACCATATTTGATCATTTTCCTCCTGAAGTGACTTCAGATCTCACATTTTGGAGTGGTCTGAATTACAGAGGTCTCACTTATGCCACTGGAGTTCTTTACTGATCACTGTGTTCTCTTCCTCACATCATGTTCACTGCCTTGGGAACAAGTTGACCAGGATATTTCTTGCAAATGTGCCACTCAACCTCTGGGTAAATAAATCACATATTGTCTAGTCCCATTTCCTACTGTATAAACTGAAAAGTCTGAGCTATCCTAGTGGTTCTGAATCTTGGTTGCACATGAGATTCACTCTACAACCTTAAAGATAATGTCCAACTCGCACCTCAGGTTAGTTAAATCAGAATGTGAGGAAAGAGATGCAAGAAGACCAAGGCATCAGTAAAGTTTAAAAGTTCCCTCAGAGGCTCTAATTTGCAGCAAATGCTGACAATGAGCCACACGTTTACCCTGAAGTTCTGCATCATTTCTCACACCCCAAGGCTGGGCCTTGACTGGCCTGGACTTTCTGATACACAGCCTTACAAGCTTGGGTATTCCACATATCTATGTTTCTTGAGGTTTACTTGTCTCATTTTAAAATTATTTCTTAGAAATAGGGTTTCTACTTCAGTTAGCCGTTCAGTCCAACCATCTGCAATTTCAGGGTGAATGAATTGTACTTTGTTTACCTTTTCTTTATATACTAGTGTGGAGATGTAATATTGAACATATACTACAAGTTACAAGGATGATAATTAAGAGACAGGCCAAATCTAGTCAATGGTCCTTTGCTAGGGTAATTGACTTGAAAACCATGAGTCTACATGTTTGCAATACTAATCAATACTGGCATAATCAGGACATTGATGTATTAGATGCTATAAGTTTCACATGTCTGCTTATGAGCCAGTGAATGTCATGGTTGTGTACAATAGTAACACGTCTTTAGCTACAAGGAGTGAGTCCCACTGTCAACAGTCTTGGCTATACATTGTGCCTACCTTCTGTTAAAGATGTTAACTCTGCCCTTTTCTTATGCTTCCTAAGCATTTCTACCAAATCTAAACAAAGAATGTGATTTTTAAGGTTTGCAATTCAACCTGAACAGAAGTTTCTCAATTTTCTCTATAAGGATGAGCCCTTTCTCTTTATGTAAAAGAGAGAACTAACAAAAGCCACAGTGTAACGGTTCCATTCTATGAGTCATACAGTGACTCTAGTGCTAAAGAAGTAGTTTAATTTTCTAAATTAAAGAGCCAACACTTTTATCTTAAAGTGAATTGAAACTACTGTGTTATTAAAGTTCTCAGTCTCTCTATAAACTGTGGTACAGAAATTATTGTTTCTCCACCATCAAGGTGGAAGAACCTAATGATGAAACAAGAACAATTCATATTTACAAAAACACCTGTATTCTTCATTTTAAATTGAACTATCAAGCTCCATGCTTTGCCCATCCTACCTACACTCAAATCAGAATTTCTTGGACTTTTTCAGATCAATCTACTATTTCATAAAACCAGGGCTTTAGGAAAACAATATAATCAAATCAAAGTTTTGTGAGTTTTGAGGATGATTCAGTCCTTAGAGCCCTTCCTTCCTGGAGATAAAATATTAATGGTACAAAGCTTATTTTTGTAAACATGTAAGTATGTCATAACTTTATGAGAAATAGAATTTAATATGTTAACACGTATTAAATGCAAAGAACATGTAAGTGCTTTACATTTAGATGGCTCAAAAGTACTTTACCTGTCCAGAGTGTCATCTGATCTGTACCGACTAATCACGGCTTTTGGTTCATCTTTATCATTTATTTTCCTGTATCAAAAAAGTTACCAAAAGATAAAATAAACTACAAGAAACAGTTATAAAACCTACTATATGTATGCCAATTTTTTAACTTATTTAGGCAGGAAATATACAGATTTGCAGTATCCAAATCTTCCAAGGTTTTGACATGGACAGAATAACTTACAGCAAACCCAATTTCCAATGCTAATGAAGTATTTTTCTCTGGTTCCAACTATCTTTAACCACCATGTAACTTTCAAATTGGAGATAAGATAACACAAGCAACAAAACATGTAAAATGATTAATATCTAACATATACTCTTGTCAATGTTGTATATTTTTGCAGAATAGGAATTTAATCAGCTATCTTTTGTTAGCAGAGTTTTATTTATTTATTTTATTTTTTGGACAATCTTAGCAGTGTCATAAAACCCACACAATGGGCTAAATCTTAAATTGCTTTATTTAGCATTCAGCACCGTGGACAGAGTTAGAAGACTATAATTCACTGGCAAAACAAAAGGAGGGATAGGGGACAAAGAAAGGAAAAGAGGGGCTGGGGATTTAGCTCAGCAGCAAAAGCGCCTGCCTGGCAAGCGCAAGGTCATGAGTTCGGTTCCCGGTACCGGAGAAAAAAAACAAAAAAAACAAAAAAAAAAAAGAAAGGAAAAGAAAAACATGGAGACCCAGGAAGAAATGAAAACAAGAAAGTGAGAGGTAAGAAAAAGGATAGATAGGAAAAGGAGAATTCAGGACATGAGGCAATTAGAGGAGAGAAAGACAGAAATAATGGAGAGCGGGGATAAGAAAGACAGATAATAAGAGACTCAAATAGGAATTATGGCCACAGTAGCATTGAAAATACTTGATCCAACCAATCAAACAAACAAAATCCTATTTAATGCCTCCTATAACCCTGCAGTACAGGAAAAACAAGCTGTTTGAGAAATTGTGCCATGATTTATTTTGTTTGCACTTAAACCACTATATGGAGGTGATACACCAAAGATACTGAATCAGAGTAAGTAGCAAGACTGAATATTTGAGATTTAATTTTAGGTGATATGGTGTGCTTTCCCTACATACCTTTGTACATAGGCAATCTACAAAGCATTTTGCTGATGCCTGAAAAGAAGTCTAGAATGAAGTAACTATAGATGTTATCCACACAGGGATAGAGGGACACATCCGAGAGCAGAAAGGAGGTTCAGGCAAAGAAAGTTATAAGTTAAGAAAGTTGATTTTCAAATATATGAATCACAAAATAACTTATGGATGAGATGCAGTTTGACCTGGTGTTTGGAGGATAAGAGATGAACATTTTCAGAGATACAGAGAACAATGTCAGTGAAGGCAATAGAAAAATTCACCAAGTTTTTCAGGAAACCTTGAAGTGAAGTAAATGATGGTGTGGTTCTCCTCCTTGTGTATTGTGTGACTACAAATACGCATTACAGGGCCATCTGACAGTGCTCAATAAAACGGCCCTCAGTAGACACTGGTATTTTAGACCTGTTTGGCTGGCTTGATTCTTCCTAGCACTCATCACAAGACATGCTACGTTGTGTTAGTTTATTTTCATCTTCTCCCCTCCCCATCTTCTACTAGGATACAAGTGTCATGGAAGCAGGGACTTGGTTTTTATTTCAGTCCTCAGCTCAGTGTCTCCCTTCAAGCAGGTGTTCCACAGGCACTATTTGTGCTGTCCTCCTTATCTGACATAGTTAAATGACCTGTCTTGGTTTGTGCACAACAGGAAGCTGTTCTCTAAGGTGATGGGAATACATTATATCAGCCCCTGCTCAGGCCAGCTCTTTGCACACGCTGTCACCTCTGCTGGGAGTGCTTCTTTCCCTTCCCCTTGTCCTCCAGCCAGCGTTGCCTACTTGGGAAACCTTTCCTTGTCGTCCTCCAAGCCTCAGTGTTCACACCAGAAACCATTTTCTCGGTGAAATCTCTAATTATTTGGGCCAAATTAGTCTTTCCCTCCTCTCTATTTTCATTGCACACTCATACCCCTTTAAAATACACTTCCCAGGATAAAAGTTACTATTGTGGTTTATGAATCTTCTGCCATGAATGTAAGAACTCCTTGATGTACCAGGTTGTATCTTATGCATTTTTGTATTCCCAGTAAATAACTGGTGGTCCACAGTGGCCTTTGAGGGAACATAAAGGAAATACAGCTGCTGCACATGGACACAAAAATGACAAGTGGCATCATTCATCAAATGTCAGGAGAAGCTACCCTACTCTTTGTGAGGAGATAGAGTTGTTGATGTTTGTTAAAGATCACAGGAGAAGTGCCTGGGGCTCACAGATTTTTTATTACAGAAGATAAAACCCTGATGGACTGCTTTAGCAAAAATGCTGGCTGCCAATAGGAAAATTTCAGGCAGTCAATACGACTTAAAATGTAAAATAAACATAGGAAGCACTAAGATCCTGTTATTCTAATCTAATAAGAAGGGTAATTTTCACTGTCACATCTCAAAACAAGTGTTTATGTTCTTTAAAAGTTCTAAGGAAAGGAAGATAACATGGAAGGCACACTTTCCACTGATGGTAAGACTCAAATAATTAGCCTCTTTTTGGTGGGTGGATGAAGGACAACTGAGAACAGGCTGTGCTCTTCAAAATGATGAAGACCAAGGACAGAGCACATAGTCTTCCAAGCCACAGAACACCGAATTGGATGAACTAAAATGGGCACTGGGAAAACAAAATGGCTGCTTTGTGAAGAGGGTGGTAGGCTTGGCATCTTTAGAACAGGTCAAAATTATCAAGTAATTTTAAATGTTTGAGAGAGTTCACATATAAAAATTTAAAGAATAGATATATTCAAGGTTTCTACTTAACTTTTTAAAATCCACACGCCTTTACTAAGTATCTCTCAGTGACAAACAGACCCAAGCTACTAGACCAGATGAAATCTGACCCTAATAAATATTTAAATTCTACTGACAGGTGTGGTTGTTTGTACATGTGTGAAGAAAATGTGTTTTAATGAGAATATTATCTATTTATGTGATCAATCTGAGATTATTTACATTATTATGATTACTAGTTTTGTCTGACTTTTCCTACTCATTCGTATTTGTTAGCCTACTTGCCACTGATGATAAGTTAGGATTTTGTCACAAGTGCAGGAGTTTCCAAAAAGCAAAGTACTGTCCCATAAAGCAAGTGAACTTAAGTTGTGATTTCTGTGTTTTAGCATTCCTTTCTGAAAGACTTACAGATGTCTTAGCTGGTCATGTTTCTATGAAAGTCCTTTCCCTGCCCCTCAAGAGGATACCTGAGTAGGGTAGGTCAATGTTCACTATGTTCTTCATCCAAGTTGTAGTTCTGAGGGAGATAGAAACATAATTTCCTCATCTGAGATTCTCCTTCACCTTCCCAGAAAGCCTGAGGCTAGCCGCAAATATTCAGCTGGCTTGAGTAAGTCTTCCTTCAGAATCTCCACCTCTGTGTTTCTGCTAATAATATAACTTGTCTGCAACACCTACCTGTGCAAGGCATCATGGGAGTTATGCCTGTTCAGCACCACCTTCCCATAATTTTCATCTCTGCAGAGAAAGATAAAAATTACATCACATTAAAAGCTACCGCAATGTTTGCTAAGCAGTAAATAAGAGAGACAGGGAGAGCCTACAACTTCTGGCAAGGTTAATTCATTTTATTTCAGGCATAAGCACACAAATATGAATCTGTTTTAACCAGTCACCACTTGCAAGAGCATGGTGAAATAAACAGGTTTGTCAGTACGAAAGATCATTTAGCGCATAAGCTTTCCACATGATTTAACAATGAACAAATAAATGTTTGGTTTTGTTTTGTTTCACCAGGGTATGGGAACACAATGCCATCTACTTGGTGTTAGAAGAGTCTTTTTCTTCAGGAAAGCACATACAAAAGCTTTCTACAATTATTGTTCAATTAAGCCCATTTCGTGTTTGTATGTTTAAAAGGACTTGACAGTTTTCCTTGTCAGAATGTAGGAAAACAACAGTACCTCTGGTTAAGATCATTCACAGATTATCCCACTTTCGAATCATAAGAAGAGATAGATTGTTGTGGTTAGGCCTTAAAATGATCCTATGAATTAAGCAGGAAAGACATTGCCCTCTCCAATTCAAAGATAAAGAAACTGGTCAGAGATTTTGTGGATTTCTTTTTTTTTTTTTTTTTTTATCTTTTTGAGACAGGGTCTCGCTATGCAGTTCAGGCCA